AATTAACTATGTGAACATTATTAACACACTTTTCTAGGGGTGGAGCATCTATATATGTATATACATATGTATGTATGTACGTTTGCATATAGATGTATGTATGAGAATACGTATGTATATATGTATACCAATACACCTTACCAATTTTCGACATATAAACCACCTTGTATATATACGTTGGTTATAGACGTTCAGAAAAAACTGGAAAGGAGCAGTTATTGGAGGCGAAACGTCATAATAATACAATGGAAGCTATTTCAATGGGAAAAGGAATGTTTTTAAAGCCTTATAAAAAGGGATTCGGATTATATTTAAAACCATACCAAAAAAACTCTTAATGAAGCTACCCAGAAGACCTCTTACTGATGTAGACTTAAAGAAGTATTCAAAATGTATCCAAATTTTAGAGGGGTATTCATGTGTGACAGTTTACCCCGTAAACCATTTAAGAGAGAATGTGGAATAATAAATTTGGATAGTTCAAAAGGTCTAGGAACGCATTGGGTAGCTTACTGGAAAAACGATAATGAGATTGATAACTTCGATAGCTTTGGAAACTTACAGCCTCCTAAGCAAATAATAAAGTATTTAGGAAAAAACATTAAATATAACTATAATAAACAGCAAAGCTATAATTCATATAATTGCGGACATTTATGTTTACAATTTTTTTTTTATCAAAATAAATAAGTAAATATAAAACCTTCTTTTATTTCAAATTAAATTTTATTTGTTCTCATCATCAACATCAACAGACCTTTCCATTCATATATATGTATATATACACATACATATTAAATACTTAGCAATCAACTATGTACACATTTTTAACACACTTTTCTAGGGGTGGAGCATCTATATATGTATATACATATGTACGTATGTACGTTTGTTTATATTTCTGACTGCATACCAACACACTTTACTAATTTTCGACATATAAACCACCTGGTTTCTTAGATTTCCATCAGCGGTACACCCTGTAATCGATTCCGGTTCTGAATGGTATCGGATTTCTCAGCTTTCCATCAGCGGTACACCCTGTGATCGATTCCGGTTCTGAATGGTATCGGATTTCTCGGATTTCCATCAGCGGAACACCCTGTGATCGGTTCCGGTTCCGGACTCAGATTTGTCACCAGCGACATCTTGCGGCTTTTATCTGGGCTCTGAACTTGGATTACGATCGGCGACATCTTTTGGCGGAGCAGCAAAGCTTGCGGCAGAGCACCAGCAAACCGTATAGCGGTTCTGGACCGGTGCAACCAGCAAACCATATGCCGATTCTGGACCAGTGCAAGCAGCGCTGCTAGCATAAATATACTACTAGAGAGCCCTGAATCAAGAGCGTACTAACACGGGAGAGCTGCAAATTCCTATTAGTGAAATTTTTACTAGAAGAAATTAGCTAGCCGCTCTCGCTGCAATCTTTTACTGGAGATGTTACTATACAATCCTAATGCCACCAGTTTTTCTCATTAAAGGCCAGTATGCAGCTCTCAAGAAAACGGTAAAGAAAAAATTTGCCTATATTTCCTGTGTCTGTCCAAGGAATTTTCATGTCGATACTTCAGAGCCTGTGACAGCCTGTTTCCTCACTCTTTCCTCAAGAAATAATGGAACGGGCATAAATTTCTGTTGCAAGCATGGGTTGCCTTGTGCTCTTTTTTTCACAAAAAACCTTTAGAAAACCGTAGTAGAACGCGTAGTAAATTTCTTAAGAGCTGCGTACTGCCTTATGGAAATTTGACTTAAGAGAATTTCTTAGCCATTTCTTGTAGTACGTCATTTTATATGGAGTTTTTGCTTTTTTGAGAGCTGCATACTGGCCTTTTAAACCATGTTCGAATCGGGGTATTTTTCGGAGATCACACGGTTGCTTTTAGCATTTAGTTTCTTAATGCAGATATGGAGTTGGTGACGAATTTTGTATGGTTAGAGTAGCATTTAGAGCTAAATCCGCTAAACGTGCTTTTACGCGTAAGCAAAAAACAGCACATTAGGTAATAATAATAATAATAATAATAATAGATCGGCGCTTACACATATGTTAGTGTTTGGGCGAGCTTCTCCTCCGATTTGTGGCGTGCGCCTTTATGTTGCCACACAACGCTTAGGGACCTACAGTTTTTCGCCGACTCCGAACGGCGATTTTATTTTAATGAGAAGCTCTTTCTCATGGCAGAAATTCACTCGGAGGTTTGCCATTGCCTGCCGAGGGACGACTGCTGTTAAGAAAAAACCTTTTTTCTATATTTTTTTGGGATGTTGCTTTGACCAGGTCTTGAGCCCAGGTGCTGCGGAGTAAAAGCGAGCACTGCTTACCGCTACACCACAGCGGCCGACATTAGGTACACTTCAGTTTTTTTAGTCTTAATTCCCCCTATTAAAGCTCGTAATTTTTATGAGAAACAACTTTCTGAAGCACTTATTCGTGCGCTTTTACGTTCAAATTCAGCATACATTTTTATATTTCTTTCTTGCCCCAAATCCTCAACGGATACAATTTCTTATGATGGTATTCCTACAAGAACACTGCTTGTTATATAATAACGTGTTATGTAACACGGATTTGTAGCGTAAATGCATGTTATACTGAAAAATCTAACAGGATATCGTGTTATTAGATATGTTATGTGTAACATATGTTTCCTGTACGTGTGTAAATTTTGACATGTGGCTTTGAGTGTGCTGTTGAAATATTTTAATGTATGGGCCCTGTCACACGGTCAGTAATTATCCCGATATTTGGATCGCGATCCATATTGGTGGATTGATGGATCGCGCACGAATACTACATGTTCAATTTTATCGCGTCAGTATTTGCATAATTTGTGTGTTGAACGCTTATTATGATACAAGAAAATATTTTTATTTTGTACAAATAATTTACAGATAATGCATTTCACAATTATTTTAAAATTTCCAATGTTAATTAAATTTTTTTCAACTTGTTTTGTATGGTTTTAAGCATCGAAAACGAAGGCATAGCGAATACGATGTTCGAATTATGAGAGTAAAATATGTACTGACGAAATATATGGATCGCGTTTTGAAGGTGCTACACGTTCAATATTTATTGACGATATTGCGATCCGCGATCCAGATTTCAAAATTTTTAGAAATTTTGCGATATGGGTCACGATCCATCAATACTGCATGCTACACCGTCAATAAATATCGCGATACTTGGATCACGTCAATAAACACTGACCGTGTGCCAGGCCTATTGGAGTCTGCATTACTTGATGTCTCCGTTAGCGATTGTTCATCTGATGCGATAGATCTCTGGCGATGAATCGCTAGTGGAGACTGCTCATCGCCATCGCAGTAGATAGCAGCAGATATCGCTTTCGAGCTATCGATGAGCTGTCAAGTAGTTAGTTTCACAGCTTGTTTAAACTTTGAATTTTTATAAAGTTGCGCTTTTCTGTAAAATATATGCTCAAAACAACGTGGAGTAAGATATTTTTGCAAATAAAGCAGTTTTCGTCATGTGGAATGTACTCATAAGACCTTTTTGAAATGAAATCTTCTTCTAGTGATGGGCGAGTCCGAGATGTTTAAAGGATCGAGAGAATCGCCATCGTTGCAAAATTACAATCGAGTCAATAATCGACTCGCTGCCCGATTCTACAATCGAGATGTTTTTCGACTATTTCGAGTCGACCGACTTATCTGGCGACGTCGTGTCATCGATAGATTTCGTAGACTTGTGCAGGTATGTATGCAAAATTTACTATGTTGAGAGTGCAGTTATTTTGAATATATTTACATGGCGCAGACAAATTCAAATGTTAAAAGTATTTTTCGGAAATTTAAAATGCCTCGCTGTTTTAAAAAATCGATAGTCTGGGATTTTTTTAATAAAATTTCGGATGGTGGCAAGGTAACATCAGCTAAATGCAAATTGTGTAATACGAGCTACAAATATTTTGGAAGCACAACCTATTTGCATGACCACCTCAAAAGGAAGCATCCCATTCAACTTACAGAATTTCAGGAACAGCAAACTCCTAACGAAATTGTTGTGCTTACCACTCAGTCTCATGCACTTGCACCTACAAGTTCTGCCCCAACATTTTCCTGCACATCTTCAGCCACAACCACAAGTTCAGCTGATCAGACGTGGACAGTATCCACCTGCTCCAAAAAGAGTTAAACAGATGAGATTATATGGTTCGACAAAAACGTTTGAACCCAGCGATTATGAGCGTCTTGAATTTCAAAGAGATGTGATGCGCTTGATTGCCGTCGACTGTCAACCTTTAAGCATGGTTGAAAATCGTGGGTTCAATTATTTTACAAAAAAATATATACCACGTCACAAACTTCCATCCCGTAAAGTTTTATCAGAAAGTGTGTTAGGAGAAGTATATGATCCCATGATTTCAGATTTCAGAAGCATGCTAGAGAAATCCTACTATGTATCTTTAACAACCGACTTGTGGTCTTCAGACAGCAATCGATGTTATATAACTATCACCGCACATTTCATTTACGACTTCAAAACCAGGGCCCTTACTCTGTAGTTCGAGTCGAAAGGTTGTTCTATTCGAAAGCCAAATTCGAATCGAAGCCCCATTCGTACTCCATAGTTCGTTCGAATCAACTTTCGAAGATATTCGAAAAAAGAGAGCAACACTGTTCGCCAAGTGTCAAACGCAAAGCAAAATAAAGAAAGAAACTAAAATCAAAACAAGATGAAATTGCTAACATTTCGATTGTGAAGTTTGTGCACTTAAGAACTCAGTAATTGTTGTGTTAAATATATTTAATATTAGTGAAAGTCCTTGATAAAAAAAATTACCAAATGGATTCAGTGGCGATATGGTTGGAAGCAGATGAAGGCCAAGTGGCGGAACGAGTGCAATTGAGAGCGCTTAGGGATAAGGCCAACACGTAGGCCTTTCTCAGCAGTCAATGTCACGCTGCCTTATTGAAGTGTGCAAAGCCATTGAGAAAACGCTTTGCCAACAACACATTAATTTTGAAAGTACGGACGCAGAGGAAACAGAGGCGAAATTATACTTCTATGAAAAGTGTGGCATTCCGGGCGTGTTGTTTGCAATAGATGGCACACATATACAAATGATAAGACCAACAAGGAATGAGCATTTGTACTACAATAGAAAACTGAAGCACAGTATGAATGCAATGGTTGTAAGTATTGCATTATCATGAAGGTTTTCAACAACAATTTTTCAAATTAAAATTCTTAGATGTGTGACCACAAGATGAGAATTAGAGCTGTTGACGCGCGATACGGTGGTGCATGCCATGATTCCCATGTATGGAACCTGTCCAGTGAGAGAAGGGCTTTAAAAGCTCGTTTTGATAATGGCGAGAGAGGGATATGGAGTCTTGGTTAGCATCAATTAATACTTTAATAACGATAATATATTAATAATTGCATTCAAATTATTTAAGGCGACTCAGGATATCCATTGGAACCATGGATGTTAACTCCCTATCGTAATGCCGCCGAAAATTCAGCGGAAGGCCGGTTTAATCACTGCCATGCCAAAGGACGGTCAATCATCGAACGAGTATTTGGAATATTGAAAGGAAGGTTTCGATGTCTTTTGGCAGCACGCGAGCTGCATTATACTCCGCAAAAGGTTTCAGCTATAATGAACGTTTGCTGCGCTTTGCACAACATTCGTCTGCAATTTAAAGCTGAGCTGCAACCTTCAGAAGTTTTTCCCACAGAAGATGTACATTTATTAGAAACTGTGTATATGGTGGAAGCGGACAGTAGTACAGCAAATATTTCTAGGAACTTAAGAGATGAAATAAGAAACAGTTTAATTGCATAGGTGTAGCAAAATATTTTATTAATTCAAGTGTGTGTATACATAGTAGCTCAAAATCAAATCATAAAGTGATATTTTAACAATATTCGCAATGTTTTTAATTCTGAAACTTTTTTGTAAATATTTTAAAATAGTATAGCTGATTATCTAAAAAAATCGTATAAATCTAAGTTGTAAACTTGTGCCAAAATTAGGAAATATCAACAAATTTTCATACAAATTGCCAACTTTTTTACTAGAATTTCTTGACAAAAATTTGGCCTGTTAAACTTAAATATAATGTGGAAGTTCTAAGTCCATAAAAAATTCCGTTGATTTTTGATAACTTTCTTTGCTGACGGTCTTGGACATTTTTTTCCATACAAAGTATATTTTTTTATATGGAAGAAAATGCACAACACCGCAAAGAAAGTTATCAAAAATCAACGGAATTTTTTATGGACTTCGAACTTCCACATTATATTTAAGTTTAACAGGCCAAATTTTTTTCAAGTAATTTTAGTAAAAAAGTTGGCTATTTGTATGAAAATTTGTTGATATTTTCCTAATTTTGACACAAGTTTACAACTTAGATTTCTATGATTTCTGTTAGATAATCAGCTTTACTTTTTTAAAAAATGTATTAAAAAAGTTTCAGAATTAAAAACATTGCGAATATTGTAAAAATATCCACAATAAATAAATAAAATAAAAGTATTTTTTCAGTCTTCATTTTATAAAATTACATATGTAAAACATTTCTAGGAACCTAAGACACAAAATATAGTTTAGTTTCATTGGTATATAAAAAAAATGTAAAAATATTCATTAGCCTTTTCATTCACAGGTAACAATTCAACAAAAAATTACATACAACTAATTCATTGTTTGCCTGGATTTGAAATTATCATAAAAATAAAAAATATTCATTATTTTTGATTAATACAACTAGCAACTTCTGTACCTTAATCTGCTATTTAAAAAATAAATAACTTAAAAAACAATTCATCAGTCTTCAAAGGAACAAAAAACTTATAAAATATGAATTCGTAAAAATAACTACACTTAAATCAACTATTTACAAAGTTTAGCTTTTAGCTTCAGTGCTTTTAATTTCAGTTTTCTTTTCTTTTTTTCATTTTTTTTGAAAAATTCAAATTTTTCTCGTTTTAATTGAAGTTTAGCCTCTTCGAGCTCAACATTCCTCTTAAAATATCTACTTAAACTATTTAAATTATCACAAACTTCGTCCAGCTTTTTCATCGAATTTTCGTGATATTGGCATTGGTTTTCCACTTGCAGTTTTAGCAAATTGTCTTTGCCGAGTGGTGGTGAGCGTGCACGATTCGGGGGTGCAATAACAATCGGTGGCGTAGTGGGGATAGCATTCGGTGGCTGATTCTCTGCATCATTACTTGGATATTCTTCAGGCTCCAAGTTTATACAGTCAAGTGGGCTAGATGATGCAGGATCGCCGAAGGTAGTAGCACCAAAGCGCATTGTTTCAGCCTCGCCATTTATAGATTCATCTATGTTCAGTAACGCAACCACTTGTTCTTCCGTCGCAGTTAATGAACAGAATCTCGATGGTCCACCTCCTGTTCCCGACATGCTCTCCTTATTCCTTCGCAACTTCGCCTTAATATTGCTTTTATAATCTGCCCATATCTACATAAAAAAAAATTATAACGTTTTACAATATGGTTCACAAAAACATAATAAATTCGTTACCTTTTTCCATTCAGTGAAGTTATGAGTTGGAGGTCCGCATGAATTAAGCTCATTTTCTAGCCTCTTCCACAGATTATTAGAGGTTTGCTTTGCAGCTAAACCCTTAATTTGACCTTTCGCCAAATCGCTGTGTTCCATCATAAAATTTACCAATATTTCAAATTGTCGAGGCTTGGTATTTGGTTGTTTGATTTTCGTTGTCCTAAAAATTATTTTTTGATTAAATAAATACACATTTTCACAAATATTATTGCAATTACTTACATTTTTGCGGACGTCCGAGTGCTTGGTTGCTGTCGAATAGAATTTTCTACAATTCCACCATTTTGACATTTGCTTTCGATGCAGGGAGTACCAAATTTTCGAAAATTCGAAAGGGGATAAAGAAAATTCGAAGGGAACAGAATGGAATTCGAACATCGAACGAATGTTACTCGAAAGGTGCTTTCAGAGTACCAATCGTTCGAAAGCGAACAAATTTTCTTTCGAATCGAACTACAGAGTAAGGGCCCAGATCTTTAGCTTTGTCAACCGAAGAAGTCAAAACTGACCATTCCACCATTAATATCGGCCAAGCGATTTTAGATATTCTATCAAAATGGCAAATTACTGACAAAATCGTTACAGTTGTAACGGACAATGCGGCAAACATGAAAAAAGATGTTTTAGAACACCTGCGTAAAAATCATCATCCTTGCGTAGCTCACACGCTTAATTTATCAGTTCAGGATAGTATTAAGTACAATCCGGACCTGGACAATTTACTATCTAAATGTAGGTCTATAGTGACTTACCTTAAACAGAGCAATGTGGCAGCATACAAGTTGAGGGAACTCCAACAACAGATGGGGATAAATGAGCTTAAACTTAAACAAGATGTATCCACTCGGTGGAACTCTACAGTCGTTATGCTGGAAAGGCTACGTAAATTGAAATTGGCTCTGGCAGCAACTCTTTCTTCTTTAGTCAATGCACCAAGAAATTTAGACGGCTTGGAGTGGGAAGCCGTGGATGACTGCATCCAAATTTTTAAACCAGTCCTAATTTTAACTGAAGATTTGTCAGGCCAAACATATTCAACGATGTCGCGTATCACCCCTCTTATCCGAGGACTTCAAATCGAAATAAAAAATAAAAGCCCCACAACAGACGTCGGAAAGCAGTTAAAACTAAATCTTCTGGAAGTAATTTCTAGAAGACTTGGTTTTCTAGAAACTCTAAAAGCCGTAGCAAAAGCTACATTTTTAGACCCCAGGTTTAAGAAAGCTGCGTTCGGTAATGGAGAGAACGCCGACAATGCTCAGCAGTGGATCACCGATGAATTAAGCAGATTAATTGAGAGTCAAAGGGTTTCTGAGGACGATCAATTGCCAACTATTTCCACAGCAACTTCTACCGATACTACGAAAGATTCGAATGGGCTGTGGGGTCATTTCGACCAGAAAGTTGCTGCTATAACCTCCACTACAACACCGACAGCTAGCGCTATTTTAATAATAAAACAATATCTTGAAATGCCTCATTTCGATCGTAAGCAGGATCCATTGCAGTTTTGGAAAATTCATCATTCTACTTTTCCAGAACTATATACACTAGCTTCCAAATATCTGAATATTCCTGCAACTTCTGTGCCCTCGGAACGTATATTTAGTAAAGCTGGTATGATTACCAATTTGAGGCGAAACAGATTGGATCCAAAAAGACTGGATCAACTCTTATTTTTAAGTGAGAATTTAGACTTAAATACTTTTCATTGATTTTTGATATTTTAATCGAATTTATACTCATTGAGATAATTTTTGGATATATGGGCTAAGGAAAATTTACTTAGAATATCGTTTTTTGTTTAATTAATAAGTATTCATAACATTAAAACTCCTACTTTTATGTCCTCTTTATAATAGGAAAATTAAAAAAAAAATCCGTAGAAGCCCGTATATCCAATAATTACTATAATTGATCTCATGTATTTGTTTACCAACCAACAAGGGTGTTTTGTTTGTTTCTCCTTAATTATTATAGATACGTATTAATTGCAATGATTCCATTTTTTCTTTATAAAAATTTACTGCATGAACAAATAAAATTGCCATGGGCCCTAGCTAGTCCGAGATATTTTGTCTGGTTGGTATATGATCAAAGAACGTAAATCTGTAATTAATTTATATTAAATAAACAATAGTCTTGTTGATAATGCCCCTAAAAGCACACTTTATCCATCAATTGGCTCGAAACATCGCTTTTTGCACATTTCTTTAAATAAACAATCGGCTATTACTTACTGATGAAAACAAAACACATGTACATTCATATATAAAGGCATAGGCTTTTTTATAAAACGAATGCATTTTTATATAAAAGTACACTGTAGTTGTTCAAACTGATTTTCTTTATAATAATCCATAAACACATTGGTACAAAGACACTTTCTAGTCAACAATTGGCACTTATTCACAAACCCTTGGCACTCACAAACACTTCTGACTACTGGGCACTTTTGCACACAAGATTTTACACATTTCCAAACTTCTACTTTTATTTAAATTTTCTAATCTAAAAATCATATTTCTCCATCCACTTGCACAAAATCACAGAAGTCACTGAATTTAACATTTGTCGATTTTCTTTTGTTTTGCTTGGTTCCTATTCGAGCGAAAATCGCGTGCAGAGTCAAAACGGAGACGAAATACCAAGGTAATTCAGAGATGTTTTGGTTGATTGCAAGGCGTATTCATATTAAATTCGCCTTGGTCAATTGTTTCGATTCTTATATTTTATTCGCGACTAGCATTTCGTCACAAATTCGCCTACGAGGGAAAACATCGAGAACCATCGAGATATCTGAACAATCGAGACAATCGACTAAAACATTCCCACGACAGCCGGTTCTACGTACCGGAATGACTCGGGTTTTACCCGACCAAGGGCTGTTGTTTCGGCGATCTAACCCCGTTTAGGTCGGCGAAGTATCTCAGAAGTTGTCCGTCCATAGGGCTACATTCACTACGTATTCTTCTACTCAGGGCTGGCATCGAGTCAAACCCAGGGCCAGAAACCTACACCTGCTGTGTATGCCGAAGACGATTACACCACAACTCCACCTCAGTCAAGTGTAATGCCTGCGAGGGGTGGAGTCACCTCAGAGTCTGCTCGGGACTACGGACACATCGAGAGTGGACCACGTCGTACGTGGCCCCCTGTTGCTCAAACAGAGCAGCCTCCACGGCTAACCTCAGTCTGCCCGAGCAGCCACACACAGTCACAACAACACAATAACACCGCAGACCATACCACAGCCAGGACAGACCACATAACACATACAACCGCACCACCACCTACACGCCGCCGCCAACAACTCCTTGTTCCCCCTACAATGTGCACGGTATGTCAGACCAGGATATTCCGTAATGTGACATCATTCAAGTGCAACACCTGCCTTGGCTGGTGCCACTTTAGGGCATGCTCAGCTCTGCGTACCACGCGAGATTGGACTGGGAACTTCGACGGCCCGTGTTGCGCTGCTCGGTCGCAGACCCCAATTGCGACGCCTCCCGCCACCACCACAGGGCGGCAATCATCACAGCAGCGCACCCAACCAACGGCGGTAAGAACACACACATCACT